TGCCATAAGTGTGTTCCTCTCCCATACGCATACCTGCACTCTGCCGGCCTTCAGCTGCTACTGTAACTGTGGTAAATGGTCCTCATAAGCCGAACAAATATAAAATGTAGGCACCGATGATGTCGACCTCCTGACTTGCCTCCAGCTCGTCGACCTTGGCCTCATCAGTGAGGCCGCACATGGTGTCCCAGCCGTCCCGGGTCACCATGGCTGCCCCGCTCGCCTGCTCCGCCCTCCTCTTGGCCCGCTGGTCTGCCCATGTCTTGGTCAGCATGACGGAGAACTCGGGCGCGTGGTGGTGGGGGGTGATAGTCCAGACGTTCTCGTCCTCCTGCTGGTCCTCCTTGTCCACGCAGACCAAGATGGGCAGCCTGCCGATGGTGGCGGGCGCTGGGTGGGTGGTCGGCTTGGCGGTGAGGGTGTGGCCTAGGTCAATCATCCGCAGCTGCTCGCATGCGATGCTGCTGGCCTCGTTGGTGATGGTGGGGGCCGGCTGACGTTGCTGCAGCTCCTGCAGATCAGCCGTCGCGGGCGGCTCACGAAGAATGCCCGTCAAATGGTCGACGACAGCCGGGATGCGGTGCAGGATGGGTACCAGGGCGTTGGTGGACACGTTGTCCACGGCCAGCATGCCCAGGAGGAGGTGGCGCAGAGACAAGGGGGCACTCGGGGGATAGTCGGACTGCGCTTTCTTACGCATACCTGCCCTCTGGCGGCCTCCAGCTGCTCACTGCGTTAAATGGTCCTCATAAGCCGAACAAATATAAAATGTAGGCACCGATACGCCATCATCCCCTTCAGCCGGATCAGGACAGCGCCACCTCCTTGAGCATCCCCTGGACCTGCGGCTGGGCAACCCGGCTGCTGCTGACGGCGTTGCTCACCGCCGAGCACCGCTGGAGGATGTCCTTGAAGTCGGCGTACTTGCCTGCGTGCGACACCGACCAGACCGGCAAAACGGACAGGAAAGGAGTTGGTCTGATGGATTGGGCGCAGCGTGTGTGCAGTGAGTGGCCTGGACATACCTATATTGAGCCTAGGCATCTGGATGGCGAAGACCCTATGCATGTCGGCCGCCTCCTCTTGGCTCATGGGCACGTTGTCGGTCCAGGTTGACCTGAAGAGGCCGTTGGGGCTGTCCACGTCGGTGAAGGCAGCGAGGACGGGCAGGAAGGGGCGCATGCCCAGGTCCTCGCACTTGGCCTGCACCGCCCGTATCACCCTCTCCTCCCGGCACAGCGCCATCCACCTTTGCTCCTCCTGCGCCGACACGGCCGTCTGCTCCTCCAGCTCCACCGTCTTCCAGATGCGGCTTGGGGCGTCTATGATGCTGAGGATGCTGCCGTTGTTGCCGCCCTCGTGCTCGATAATGAACCCGGATGGCGGGCTGGGCAGGCTAGCGCCGACCAGGGGCAATCCAATTGAATCCGTCCTCCTCGTTCACCCGCACCTCCTTCAGCACCTGTAGCATTCTCACTCAACACAACAAGGGAGGCCGGGGGACAGCCGCGCTGCTCTCCTTGCGGACGGGTGGGGCTTGACAGCGGTTGACAAGAGGGCTGCTGGGTGGTCGCAAACAGCCTTACGAGGGCCAATTACAGCCGAATAAGAGGTCCGTCATGGCTTCGTTGGCGCGGTCTAGAATGCAGAAGACATCTGTGCGGGGGAGTGTGACGAGAATACACACCAACGGCTCCTGGCAGATGGGCATATGTAGGCACGGTGCTGATAGGGGACGGTGTGCCTCTCGTACCTTGATCGATGCCGCGGCCGACGCGAACGAACTCTCCATGGGGGACGCGAAGTTGTCGGCGAATTGCGACTTGGGCGTGAGTCTGACGGGGAAGCCTCGGCCGAGCCCAAACGGTGGGATCGGCGGACTGACACATACACACACACACACACACGCACGCTCACACACAAATGACCACCTGCACGCGAATGCGCACATACACACCCTGCCGCCCCACTCTGCTTACGAATGGACATTGATGCCCGCCGGCTGCCCACGACCTCGGTCAGGTTGCCCAGCACTTTGCGGAGATTGCCCTGCCATGAGCACTGAGGATGCGCAAAACCGGCCGGCGTCATGTGCGGTGCTGAACGCTCACATCCATCTACCTGTGGGACGTCGGCTAGCAGTTTGATGAGGTCCTTCACTCGAGCCCTTACCTCACTCTTGGGAGCTGTGGCCACGCGTTCCTGCCAGAGTGTCAGTGAGTAACACACGGGAGAAGCCATGACACATCCATCGTGTATGCATCGTGGCTTTATTGCGTCCTTGTCCATCCTATTGCTCTGATCTCACTTACAGCCATCGAGTTGAACTTCGCTACGACATCCTCCTGACAGCTGGGGTCCACGAATGCCCCACCACGGATGGCTTGGCAAAGCGCCAGCCACTTGCACTCCTCATCCGACAGGCACGTGTGTTCTTCGATGGGCACTGTCTTCCAGATGCTGTCGAGGGCGTCCGTGGTGGTGAGGATGCTGGCGTTGTTGCCGCCACCGTGCTCGTTGATGAATGCGGACGGCGGATTGAGCAGTGCGGCGCCGAGCACGGGCGTCTGGTCCTCCTCGTTGACCCGCACCTCCTTCAACAGGTGCAGCAAGATTCTCACGCAAACAAGGGGCAGCCGGCGGGCAGCCGCGCTGCTCTTCCTTGCAGACGGGTCAGCATTCTGCATTTCAGCGCACACGCCAATTGCGGCGGGACAAAGATGGCATTACTGAGCGCTTCACTTCACCTGCTCCTTACCTTGTCAGCCCTCAACAGCTCCGAAGCTGGAGATGGCGGCAGTCTCGTGTTCATGACAATGGTGAAGCGAAGAGGTGGAACTGTGCTGAAAGAGAGGTGTCGGAACGGCAGGAAGCACAGGATGGCACAGGATATTGCACAGGATGGCAATCCATCCTCCGAAAAAAGTGGCGATGTCTCTCTGTCTCCAATTCTCGCCCTAATTTCTCGCCCACAAGACGCGCTTTTCTCACACTGAACCCCTGATTCATTGAATATTTCATTCACCTTGAGGACTCCGAAGAGAAAAGGAGACGGCCATCCGGAGAAAACGCCAAATTATTTCATCTACGCACGAACATGCCAACAAGGCATATGAGATGACCACTGGAATGAAACGGACCACCTAGTCATCCTCGAATATCATTCACATACCATACCGACACCGCAGCCAACGAAGAAAAAGAGATATGACACGTGTGCCCACCTGAGAGGATGTTGAAGACAAGAGAAGGCGTCCGCGCACTCAGCTGACGCCAGAGAGGTTTCAGGCGGTGACCGTGGCCACCTATTCAGCAGAAGGCGGGGCACCACCGGCTGAGGCCTGACTCGAAGCACGGCGGTAGGGGCGGACAAGTCGGGAGGGGCGGGCCACACAAGCCAACGACCACTCACCAAGGGAGGAGGGAGGCTTAGGCTGATGTCAGCTTCTGACGGGCGGACGGGTCAGGGGCGGGTCAGGTGGACTCGTCCTCTCCGAAAATGGCGAGCAGGGGGGGCTGCGTGGGCCTCGGGCGGGTGGCGCCGACGATTAAATTCTCGCCGCGAATCTCGCCGCAAGCTCGCGAATTCTTTCATCTCGCCGTACGCTTTTCCGAGGCGCACTCATGTGCGCCGACTGACTAGCCTGCCATTTGAGTGAGCTGGCCATGACCCGCTTCCTCGCCGACATCCGGTCCTTCACCAGCGTCCATGACGACCGCCGAATTGTCAGACAGCACGTACGGCAGCCCATGCAGCCAGGCCACAAAACCATGCGTCAACCACTGACTAATCCAGCCGGACATGCATACATGGCCGCATACGATGTATTTATTGTACACACAAACGCCACTGATGAATTCTGCTGGGTTTCGGCCACTCACTCCCCACCGAACCCCAGTATCCTGACACCAAACACAACGTTGTATCCCTTCTGCTTGCTGCCAGTTTGATGCATGCATAATCTCTCATCCATCTCTGTGTGGCGCACCTTGTTGCCATGGTCCTGCCGTACGGGATGTATGAGAGGCAGTACCACACCATCGCACAGAACTGGCACACGACGCACAGCACGATCAGCAAACCTTGCAGCAAACCCACTTGAAGAAAGAAACAGCAAATCTGACAGCAGCAGACAGCGCACCTTGCCATTGCTCTTTCACCCATTCAGCCGCCAGCCTGCCTGCCTGCCATTCGTACCAGTGTGAGTATGAGGCACGAGAGGTATGTGACGGAGGCGATCCACCTCTTCCGGTGAAACATGTTCCGCACCTGCTTGGAAGGACCAACTGCACACACACATGCACACAACGACCACCACTCTGACGAACAGCGGCCGCTTTTCTGTGCACTACTGATGGCTGACCGAGGAAGCCGGTGGAGCAAATCGACATGATGTTCCCAAACGAATAACCGACAGCAAAGCGAGTGGGATGACCTGACACGGACATACACATGGGAGCATTCCACGAGCGGAATCATCCCGTCGATGCCGTGCTCCTCACCCGTCAGCATCTGTGCGAAGGATCCGAAGGACACAAAGGAGACGATCCAGCCAGCGATAAAGCACATGCAGAACCCAATCAGACGCTGCAGCAAGTACACAACAAGAACGAACAACTGGGTGTCCTTGTGTTGCTTCTTCGTCGTTTTCACCTCCTGAAATGTGAGCCTCGGGCAACACTCCCATCGGTCCTCTTCTTGGATGTCGCTGCTGGTGTCCCACTGCGACAGCACACTGTTGTTGTGGCCATCAGCGGGAGGCGCACTCTCGCTGCGGAATTGCCTGAATGGCGTGAATGACTCGAACATGTTCCCTGCCATGATCTCGCTGGTCGCTCTTTTGTCCAGCTGGTATGACGGACGTTGGAGCTGTGTGTTTCCCCTTTTCTCCCGAATTCCCTTCTGACGTTTCTCACTGCGAGCTTCAGAGTGGATCGTTTGGGCAGATCTGGCAGCGTCAACGACGGAGAGAGGCAGATCCAGGGAGTACGAAGCTTGTAAAGCGTGTTCCAGCCATCTCGAGCGAAACAAGCTTCGATGAATGATTTGGCGGCAGCCCCTTTCTCTGGATGCATCCCATCACGATGATGAGCAGCTCTCTGGGCCACACGGTGAATCAGCTTCAACGGGCCACTCGATCTATCGCCACTCAGGCCGCAGTCAAGCCTCCAGCCGCCGCCTTTCAGCGCGTCCCTGATGCTGCTTCCGAGCTGGTGGGCGGATCTGCCGTCGGTGCTGGAGCCACGCAGCGAAGGAATGGCGAGACTTCGTCGCTTGAGAGTGAGTTTCGCCGTGCCCTGGTGCAGCTGACGTTTGCCTTTGAGAACCCCCATCTGAAGCGCAACTCGCCGCAGTCGTCATCGCTCCTCTTCGACACATCAGCTCGTATCGGCCCCTCGTCACAGCAGGCCGTCTGGGAGAGGCTCACGGCAATTCTGGAGCAGCATCTGGAGCACGCGTCAAGATCTAGTTGCTTTGCGACTGCGAGGGACATGCTGGAGCTGCTGGGATGTGTCAAGCAGAGCCATCAGGCTGCATGGGGACGAGGACGGCAATCCGGCTCGCTTGAGGATGCGACAGCAATATCCGCTGGTCATGATTGGGCCGTGGGACAGATCGAAGAAGGCGATGCTTTGGCTGCTCTTTTGGCAGTGTGCAGTCGAACGCTGGAGCATTTAGTGAAGCGGCAGCTGAAGCGGAGAGACCAAGAGGGTGAAGGGCAGCTGCGTGACTTTATAGGCTGCTTCCACGCTCTTTCCATCCCGTTGAATCATCCGCTTCCTTCTCTTGGCCACCGTGTCGCTGAGCTGCTCGTGGCACTACATGGATCATCTGGTGTGGCTTCCGATAAGTCTGCGCCTCTATTGATCGACGGCAGTGACTTCACGAAGCTCTTTACGGCTCTCGAGAGATGCTCGGTTCTCAACCATGACGTCTGTCGATCTTTTGAGGGGTTTATGTCGCATCTGCTTGAGAGGCGTCGCATCAAGGCGGTGGGCGTGGCTGTGCTGCTCGAGGCGTATGGGAAGGCCGTCGTGCGGGGTGATCGCAGCGAGTGGGGGGGCCATCTGGAGAGGGTGGTGCCGCGGCTGGTGGCGGAGCAACATCGATGGGCTCGCACCATGGACCCATACGCCATCGCCATGGTACAGAAGAGCATGTGAAGACCTCGCGTTGAACTTTGGCGGCCATGTGTGTACGTTGTCCAGGTGTTTTATGCGTACGGGAGGATTGGCAAGCACTACTCTCGCGCAATCCTATGCCTGCCCGACGATGCACGAGCCTGGCATGACAGTTCTGACCTGTCTGATGCGAATGTCATCGATTGGGGCCGGGTGGTGGACGCCATTGTTACTCTGTCGCCTCGCATGGACGGCAGCGTGCTGATGAACGTGGCTGTGGGGCTCAGTTGGATGCAATGGAGAGAGAGGCAGATTATTGCTGTCCTTGTAGATGTGTTTGTGCGTCTCTGCCATTCGCAACGGCTGACGCCACAGCAGTTCTCCCACTCAATGCTCGCACTGGTAAGATAAGTCATCTTGTCTGCATCCATGTGGTGCCCCACCAAAGCCTTCTGGGTGTCTGTTCAGGCATCTTTGGAGGTTTGGGACCCTCGCCTGCTCGCTGCAGTGAGGACCTTTCTCTCGACATCCTCGCAGGTCGAAACACCATGACATACAAAGGGACGGCAAATGTGGTTTGTGGGTGTGCGTGTGCAGGGCTTCTCTCTGCAGCACCACTCGCTAACCCTCCAAGCCCTCACCCGATTCGAGCACCAACGGCCGCCGTCCCCCACACGCATCTTAGCAAAAGAGCAAGACGCCGCTTCTGCAGCGGATATACAGGACGGCAACGACCACTACAACCACAGCTATTCGGCTGCTTTTCTTCCCCTAACACGGCAGATATCCGATGACGCTCTGGCCATTGACGAGAGGCAGGCACTGGAGTCGCTGACGCAGCTCGTCATGCGCCACTTCAAGACTGCTGTGAACGGTGGAGCTTCGTCGGCATCGCGGCCATATGATGATCTGGCGCCTGCAGACTTTGTGCACATCCTAGAGTCGCTTGAAACAACGCGGGCACAGGTGAGGGCGTGATGGGATGGCCAAAGGCTGGCAGGCATGCCGACATCTCTGTGTTACGCGCAGGATGTGAGCTTGTGGCGCCATATACTGCCATCCCTGCGGCGATCCCTGGAGACGAATAGCCATCACTGGGACCTCCACAGCGCGCTCTCGGTCTTCGCCCACGCCACAACACTCGACCTGCTCTCGCCGCTTAGAATCGCGCACTCGCCCACCGAGCCATCGGAATCCCTGCACGCTCTGTTGATGTCGCTGCTGCACCGCTATTTGGACATGATGAGTCCGGTCGATGCCCTCGTGGCTGCTGAGGGACTTTCGCTGAGCCACTACTCCGTGGAAGGATGGGACGAGAAGGGGAGGATGGGCCGATTGGTGGGCGCTTTGAGGCATAGGATGATAGGTGGGCTGAGGTCTCTCGTGTCGGCTGAGAGGCCCGCCCGTCGTGGTGAGAGCCGTCTGAACTTCAAGGATGCCTACGAGCGAAGTGTCTACAGTCGAATCGGTGAGAGAGAATGCACACCCTGCATGGGCATGAGCGAGGACGAAGGATCGATCGGTGCGGTTTGTGTCTGCAGGGGTCGTCCTAACCTGGCTCCAGCTTTCTCCCTCCCTCAGGGCTGATGGGCAGGAGCGAGTGCATGCGTGACTGAGTGGACAGAACGGCAGCGTTGGTATGCGTACAATTCGTATACATATGTACGTCCCGAGTCAACTTGCACACAGCCGAGTCCCACCCCTCCACACAGCAGTCAACAGCAGGCAGGCAGGCGAAGATGATGAGCCGGTTCGCCTGGGCATTGTTGCTCCTCCTTTGCTGCTCCACTGCCGCCTCATGCGTCGACGTCAACCGAAGCAACAAGAAGAAGGCACTCGCACGGGTAACAACAACAGACGAACAAAAGGCAGAGACACAAACACGAGATGGATGGATCACGCGCTGCTTCGGTTGTTTGTGTGCAGGCTGGCCTCGTCTTTCGCTCCGTGCGCCTGAAGCAGCCGGCAGAGGATCAGCCGAGCCTCGCCGAGATCTATCAAGACGAGCTGCAGAGCGAGGCCGACGACCTCGCTATGCCACAGGAGACACGGCCTCGCCGCATCAGCAATGGCCCGATTCCGTCCCACTCGATTCAGAGAGACAAGGAGGACCCGGCAATTGCTGAGCTGCGAGAGATGCAGCAGGCAGCCCAGGACAAGCAACAGCAGATGGACGAGCTGGAGGAGCAACAGGAGCAAGACACCAAGCAAAAGGAACAAGGTGCCTCAACACGCACACACAGACAGACAGACAGACAGACACACAGATGTGATTGTGTCTCTGTGGATCAGTCAATTCTGCGCGGGTCGACAGTCAGCAGAGGGCCGAGGAAGAGGAGGAGCAGAAGGAGTTCGAGCAAGCACACAAAGACGCACCGCTGCTCTCATCGTTCAGGCAGCGAAACGGTCCTCGCAAAGCAGCAAAGGGTCAGTCACCAAAGGACACAGAGATACAGAACAATCGTCATGTGTGTGGATCTGATGATCCAGTCGACGTGACGAATGGCGCCATTAGCAACGAGCATACCCCGCCTTCGCTCAAGTCGCAGATGGAACAAGAGGAACGGAAAGAGCAGGTCAAAGCTGTGCTCCAAGAGGTAAGACAGACAACTGGATGGACCAATGGCATGTCCTTGCTGAAAATGTCTGTGTGTGTTGTGTTGGTGCCAGGTTGAGGAGACGGCTGCACAGGCAGAGCGAGAAGCGGTCAAGAACGAGGAAGATGAGGTGGAGAGTATCTTTGAGGACGCTGCTGTGAGGGACAGACAGACAGCAGCAGCGGACGGACAGCAGGACGAGTACACGGAGGAAGACTGAGACAGCAATGTGCAAGAGATGGACATGTGTTGACAAATAAAGACCGACTCACCCACACGTGAGAGTGTCCACCACAAGCCTCGGTCTCGTACAACCAATGCAAACATTCATTCACATTTCCACCACGCAGCCACACACTAACGCCAGACATGTATATATGGATGTGCACGCTGGACAGTGCATTGATGAAAAAATAACCACGAGCTGGAAGAGAGTCGGCGACGGGAGCAGCCACCATGCAGCACCCGTCCCGACTCCCCATTCAGATCAGTCTTTGAATGTCACTCCCCCCGCCCCAGTTGGTGAGCCACTGCCCTCTGCTGCACTCACCCCTTTCTTCGGTGCCGCTGCCCCGTGTTTGGACAGCATCTGCTCCCGCCAAAGGGCCCGTGGGTCCGCCTTCGGACCTCCGCCGAAGTCAAACAATTGCCCGGACTCCTCTCTCTGGATGATCTGCGACTTCTTCCGCCCTTTGGTCGGTGAAGCCGATGCCCTGCGGCTGGCACTTCTTGCTGGGCTGCGTGCCTTCGGGGAAGCGCCTGCTGGCTGTGCTGGACCGATGGGAAGACGGAGCTCTTCCTTGGCCGCCAGCGGGCTCGGCCCGGGGACACTGACGGCAGCACCCTGCTGGCACAGAGTAGTCAGATAGGTGATTGATCTGTTCGTGTCTCGTGTGTCTCACCTCTGGCTTAAGTTGGCTCTCTTGTGAGAGGGCCAGGGCCAGAGTCTCCCGAGGAGCTTCAGAGGCCCTCTTGGCGCGATGTGACGGCTTTGGAGGGGCTGAACGCGGCGAGACAGGCGTTTTCTCTTTCTCCTTCTTCGCCTTCGGCTTTACTTTTGGCACTATGAGCTCAGTCTTGCGCCTATACATGTGGCTGAGCCTTTTGTCCAGATCCTTGCTGAGCCTGCAGTCGATCCGGTGCCGCACCTCAGAGACGTGAGAGCGCTTGTCCTTGGCAATCCTCCGTAGCATGTCATCGTCAGTTATGGGTGTCGAGTCGCTCCACAGGCTGGATGAAAGTATGCGCAGCCATTGCTTGGCCGTCACCGCTGCCATTGGTGCAGTGTACAAGTGCCTCCCGAACACATACTCCATTCTGTCCGCACGTACACACACACAAGGCCGGCTGATGTGGCGGGCATGCCTTTGTGTCTCCCTGGTTGGTCACTCACGCACTTTCTGACAACAGTTGGGAAGGGCAACAGATTAGCGAGGAACGTGTACATCTCGTCCATCTGAATAGACCTGTCTCTATCCCTGTCCAGCACCTTATACAGCACATAGTTGAACAGCCCTCTCGGCTCAAGGCCCGTCGAGTCGTTCTTCGCTCGCAGGTACATCCGCATCACTTCGTCAAGGGATAACACGCCGTTCAGGTCCTCGTCCGCCTCCCTGCAGGCACCAACAACACGTAAAGAGGTCATCCTTCCATCAGCCATGAATGCATCCATTGGTGTGTTTGCTGCCTCACCAGATGAGCCCCTGCACAGCCCGGAGCGGGAGTATGATTCCATCTTCTCTCATGCTGTGTTGCAGTTCATACGCATCGATAACCGAGTCCTCGTTGATGTCCAGTTCGAAGAACACACGCCTGATGTTGGCCTGCTCGTGCTGGGTGAGGTGTTTGTCGAGCTGTGAGAGGTCATTGGTGTGGCCAAGTCGTGCTTGCAGGCGGGCGGGCGGCGGGGGAGGTGAGGGAGGAGGTGGGGGGGCCATCCCGCCGTCTCGAATGTAGCGAGCTAAGCTGGCGCGCCGTTACAGGTTCTCGATCCATCCATCCATCCATGCAGCAGTCTCTGTATCGTCATGTACGACCAGGGGACAAATCAGGTATGAGGTGCAATGTGGTGTCGTGTGTGCGATTAAATCAGATACGAACACATAAGATAGCAGGCAGACAAACCGACAACAAACCGACAACATAACACACCGCAGGCAGACAGGGAGGGAGGCAGATGGTCTGCGGGCGCATGTGTGTGTGTGTGTGTGTGTGTGTGTGACGAGGTAAGTATGTATGTACGGGTGGGTGGGCGGTCCCATACCATCAAGAGTGAAATCCTGGGAGACTGGCGGCACACCCATCCATCATAAAGCATGACGCAGGCACACAAAGGAGGTCACTATGCATCCCAAACAGCAGAAAACAAACCACTCGTTGTGTTTGCGCGAGCACACTGCCGCCCATACATCGCTGTCTGCCGTCTGTCTGTCTGTCTGTCTGTTGGGGTTTCAGGGCTGCTAATTTGTAGGCCCGTGTCATTCGTTCGTATGGCAAGTGAGCAGACCTTTGCCCATCCATCTCGTCTCTCTCGTTGTACGTATGTGAGTAGAAAAAAGCACCCATGTGTGTGTCATCGTGTAGGTACGTATACCATGTCTGCATCCAAGAGATAGGAAGGGGAGGGCGGGGAAGGCCACACACACGACGGGTCGATCGAAAATCGTATCAATGCAGGTACCACCTCCTCAGCCAATGACCAAGTCGCAAGGTGAATAAATGAGTGAGCGAGGGAGGGCACAGACTCTCACGCAGCCAGCCATGCACCACACCTCACACGCCTCTCGTTCCTCTCTGTTTTTCGCCCAAGCCGCTATCCACTCACTCACCTACATACACTCATCCCATCCACGTGTGCGGTGCGGTGCCTGGATGGAAACAGACAGACCTAGAGAGCAAAAGCTAAAGCACCGTGTCCAAAAGCAAAGCAAAGAGAGAGGGGCATATGAACGTGACTGGGCGGCCCTGGCAGCCGTGTAAGAAGGGGTGTGCTGGCTGGCTGGTAGGGGAGCAGCGCATGTATCTCGTGCATAAGACACTGGTGGGGTGACGGGATAAAGATGGAAAAGCTCATCAGTCACATCATGTATGTCATCAAGAGTTAGAGCCGATCGTGAACGGAGCATCCAGACAGATCAAAGGGGAGTAAAGGCGATATATGGCAGAGAGCAAGAAGCGAGCGTGCAGGCAGGGGCAGAAATAGCACGTAGAGTGCACACGCACACTCGAGGCAGACATACACAGCACAACACACGCACTCAGACTCATCCATCCTCTTGACAGACACACGTCACTATGCATTCGTTCAAAATACCCCCCAAGTGATGATGACATGAGTGCGGCCCGGACGGCAGGCAGGGAGGCAGGCAGGCCTCACGCGCCCATTGCCGTGAGCCCGCCCACCCCGTCCCTACTGATCAAACGATCTACCAACCTTGATTGCCTCAGCCAGCCAACGAAGATAAAATGCCCGGTCACTGCAGCCGACACGGATGCTGCACAAATACCACACACCAGAACGCACGTGAGCTCCTGCACTCAGTTGTGTTGCGTCATGTGTGTGAGTGGGTGAGGTCACCTCCGAGCAGCTACGGCAGCCCCACGCGCTAAAAGGGTAGGGACAATCAAAAGTGAAACACGAAGGAATGAAAGGCACGAGTGTCGTATAGGAATGGGGGACGAGTGAAGCTGATCCGCTTGCCGCTCGCCCGCTCCATGCTTCCCTCACCTGTTTTTGGATCCGCGCTCGCTGCCAGAGACGGGGGCGCTCGCTGCCGGCGTGACGCGAGCAATACTGGGTGATATACGGACCTGGGACAACAGAACCACACCACATCACGCAGAATCTCCTGGCTGGCACCACCGTGGATCGTCCCCCGCCCCATTCTCCGTCCGTCCCTGACTGACTGACCTGTTCCGCAGGGGTGGTTGTCAGAGGTCTACTAATATCGTCAGCCAGCCCTCCCCCTCCACGACCCATCCCCAGCCCTCCCTCAACAGGTGCCGTCTGGGAGGCCAACGCAGGCAGTGGCGGCCGCCCAGACGATGTCGACCTCGGACTCCCGCGAGGCAGCGGCGGTTTCCCCCTGAGTGCCGGTGACCCGACTTGAGATCCGACGGGTGTCGTCCCTCCTCCTCGCCGATCGGGGCTGACAGAGCCCCTCCTCTCCAGCTCGGCCAGACGGGCGCGTTCGAGAGCCTCGGCTGTGAGAGTGGGGCTGCGGTGAGGGGTCAGGCTTGCCCCGCCGTCTTCACTCGGTCGGTCCCTCTCGTGTGGCAGCCGGGTCCGCCTCACACACCGACTCCCGCTGAGGCTGCTCCGGACACTGCCGCTCCCACCACCAATGCTCGACGGGCTCACGCGTCGGAGATCATGCAGCGGGCTCTTGTCCGCGACCTCCCTCTCGTCCTTGACCAGGCCGTCGGCACCAGCAGCCACAGCAGCCGGGAGTGACAGGATTGGGGCCTCCTGGCCCGTCTCGCCTTCGTGTGGTTGCCGCGCAGTCGTAAGGCCGCTCGGCCCAGGCGCCATGGCGCTCTCGGCAGGCGTCTCTATGCCTGTCGTCCGTGCGCTCGCCCGCAGATTGGGCGCCGAGCCGTCATCTTGGTGGTCAGGCCCATCTCCCGCACCCTCCGGCTCGCCTTGCGGATTAAACCGGTCAATAGATGGTGACGAAGGCGAGGTTGGCTGCCCAGCCCCGGCCCCCAAGTTGGCACTCCACTCACGTCGAGTCGGCTGCCGCTCGTGTGGGTCGGGGGAGCCGTCGTGGGGGGACGACGCTCCTCCTTCGCTCCGTGGCGGCAGTCGGCCTCTCCTCGAGGGCGAGCGAGACGAGAGACGGATGAGAGGGTCTGCTGCGCCTGTCCGTTCCGTCCTCCCATCACTCCGTGTGCTGCGAAGGCCGCGGTCCCCAGCAGCAGCGGCAGGGGCAGGGGAGCCGCCCCTCTCTCCCGTCTGTCTGCCGTTGAGCTCGGGGCGGGTCGAGGCACCTGCGGGGCTCTGTGAGGGCCGAGATGGCTCTCTCTCTGCTGTCTCCCTCGGCGGCCCACCGGAGGCCTCCACGTGTGCATGGCCATCGGCGTGGCTGAGGAATGCATTCCCCCGCTGTATGGCGCTGGTGGCCTCGCCGAGTGACGGGAGGGGGGGCAGCGGAGCGTGCCTGGAGGACCTCGACCGGTCGTAGTTGGATGGCCCGGATGGGAAGAGGTCGTTGAGGGCCGTGGGTGTGGCTGCGGCTGTGGCTGTTGGCTGTGAGTGTCGGTCAGCAGCGGACGGCGAGAGGCTGGCCGATCGCTCGGCCCACATGCGGAGACGGAGCTGCTGCATCTCTAGGGCGTGGAGCTCCTCTGAGTGGAGGGTGTGCTCAACCATTTCCGTCATCTTCTCGATGTACTCCTGCACAGCACACAACACAACACGATGTCTCAAAAGTGCACGCTGCATTTGATCTCTCTGTGCTGACCGACCTGCAGTTTGCCGAGCCTCCTGTTGATGGCGTGGATGTTTTTGGGTCCCGACGCAGACATCGAGTACTGAGCAGAGTTCGCAAACGACGCCGAAGCGGGCTGTGATGCTGCAGCAACATGGTCGCCCCGATGGCGGTGGGAGCCCCGCCCCCTGGCCGTCCCTGTTGTGGTCGAGGTGTCCCCTCGAGTGGCGCCGGCAGTAGACAACGGAGTGTAGGGCAGCACGGGGCCGCCACGCAGGCCTCTGCTTGGTCGATGAAGGTCGGTCTCCCTGTGGCCGCCCCGCCCCTCCCCTCCCGCATTGACGTCTCGCGGCTGCAGTGGTCGCTGTCGGCTGGGTGTGGACGAGGATGAGCCGATGTCTGTGTGGTGAAGGGCGCCCTCCTGCCGCTGGTTGGGCTCCCTCAAGCCACCATCTGCCCTCTGCTGCTGCCTCTCGGGCTCACTCCACGACGGCGACAGCTGCTGCTGACCACCTGCCGCCCCCTCTCCCCGCTGTGTGGGCAGCACAGGCCCATCGGATCGCCTGGCTCGGCCAGGGGGAGATCTCACGCGGCCCCGGCCACGCAGAGAACCCGGCGAGTTAAAGCCTCCAGCCGCAGCGGCCTCGGCGATGAAGCCAGGTGTCGGTGGTGTGGGCACCGGGCTTGGCGTGGGGGGCGGGGTGGGGTCGTCCGGGCTCGGGGCGTGTCTGGGCGGCTGCTGTGAGGAGGGACCTCCAGACAGGACTGGCAAAATGCGCCTAACGCCGCCTCGACCAGTGGGAGGGAGAGGCGCCCGCGAACGGTCTGCTGACGGCGAGCTCGCTGCTGCAGCCATCATGCTGGCGAACGGCTGACCGGCCCCCGACAGGAGCGATCTCTCTGCCTCACTCTCGTGCTGCGGGGGCCGGGGGGGCCGTGCTGTTGATGACGATGAAGCTGCTGCCGGCTGTGACACATCGGCGAAGACGTGGGAATCCTGCCTTGCGCTCTCGCCTCTCTCCCTCTGCGCGTCGTTGTTGTCGATCTGGAGGAAGTCGACGCCCTCCTGGATGGACGGTGACGCAGCGGACGCCTGGTTGCTGCTCGTCATGCCGTGAGGGCTCCGGTCCAAGTCGAGCGGCACGGGCACGGGCACGGCCATCGCACCAGGAGGGATGAGGGAGGGGGGAGGCGACAACGCCGACGGGGCCGACGGCACTGCACACAGAACGAGAGACCATTGACGAAGGAGGTTAATGTACAGTGGTGCTCAGAGCATACCTGGTGCGTCCCCACTGTTGGCGGCCGTATCCACCACTTCCCCAATGGCTTTTGCAACCCCTAAGAGACTACCAGGCGGTCTGGCCGCCGCCTCCTCCCCGCCCTCGCCCGACTGATTGGCCATCCCCTCGGCTGCAGCAGACGTGTCAGGTGCCTCCTCCGCCTCTGCTGAGTCATTCTCGGTGTTGGCGCCCTCCTCTGCCGGCGACGCATCTTCTTGCCTGACGTCCTTAACCAAGGGCACTCCCACCATCACCACACCCTCGACAACAAGCCCGTTCGTCTCCCCATGCCCGGATGCATTGCCAGCACTGTCGGTGCTGTGGTTGGCGTTTGCATCCTCACTGCGGTCTCGGTCGGCGAGCACCCCGTTGGCCGGACTGGGCGCTTGGCGAGCCGGCGAAGTAGGCTGGGGCATTGGGGACTGCTTGGAAGGTCCTGGGCCGGGCGGCAACGACGCACTGATGCTGGGATTGGACGCATAATCGGCCGCTGATGTGGCGTCCATGTTGGCGCTTGTCGCAGCCCCAGAAGGCCGCGCGTCGCCGTCCCTCCCTTCCCTGCGTACGCCGTCTGCAGCTGTTGTCGTGGTGTCGGTGACGCCCTCAGTGCTACGACCATTGGCGATGGGCAGCTGGGTGATGGGTGGCTCGTCCGCCGCTGGTGTCTCGCCTTGCGGCCGTCCACCAGGCCGCTCGGAGGACGACGCGAGATTGGAGGAGTCGCCTGCCACGTCGCTCTCTGTTGATCGAACAGAGCAGCCCAACGTCGATACATCTGAGAGGAGGCGAACAGAGAGGTCATAATGGGTATTGGTGTCTGGTCTTCACCTCACTCACCTGGTCTCTTCAACGGCGCCGGCGACACAATGTCACGTCCTTGGTGCTGCGTCAGAAGCACCTCGAGGTCGCTTGCCGGCCTGGCAGCCGCCTCAGGAGCGGGCGACAGCGACCCCTGCACCGAGTGCTGGACGAGCGGCAGGATGGCCGACGCTGACACGCTCATCGTATCCCCGCCCGCATAGCCAACACTCACACTCGACTGCTCATGCAGCGCCATCTCCAGCTGCACCTTCCGCTTGCCAAGGATGGGGTGCGGCACTGTCCGACGATTGTAGCCCCCTGCTGCTGACTCGCCCAGGCCGCTGTGGCTCATGCTGTGGCTATCGGACAGGGCGAGGCCGGGGTCGTTGTGGGTGGCATCGTCCGCGTCACCTACAGTGCCCCCCACTCGTCCAGCGGCAGCGATGTCCATGCCGCCCTGCCTGTCGGCAGCCAGTCGATCGACTTCGGCGTGTTGCCGGCTCGTGTGGCTGTTGGGCAGCACAGGTGTGCTGAAGCGATCGGGTCTGTCGTCACTGGATGGGTCGCGGGAAATGGGGTGACTCGACGGCTGTGGGCAGCTGGGGTTGTGGCTGAGACTGTAGAGGGAGCTGCGGAGGCTGGCAGCAAAGGAATGAGAGGCCAGGGAACGCGACGGGAGCGACATCGCGCCACCCGGCCCCACCAGACCGCCCACGCGACCGCGGACCTGGGGATAATGCCCGCCGTGGCCGAAGGGGAGGTGGAACAAGGCTCCCCCCTTGCCGCCCGGCCCTCTACTGGCGCGACCCCGCACCAGTGTGGCCCTCCCTTGCTCTGCGACGTCCCTACTGCCATCTGCACTGGCGCTCTTCCTGCTCTTCCTCGTCCGTCCCTTGGGAGAGCCGGCAGGACCGCCTCCCACAGACAGCGATGCCTTGAGGTCGGGCAGATGCGGGCACGTGTCTGTCTCGGTGGCGACGCCAGTGGCCGCGTGTGTGCTCATGCTGTTGGTATTGGTGTTGCTGTGGTTGCAGCTGTGGGTGTTGCTGTTGTTGGTGTGCGTCACACTGGCGCTCTGGGACGGACTGGCGGTCTTGATGTGATGCAGACTTCGCATACCCACCAGGTGGGAGCTGCCGCGCACATCGTCCACTCCCACAGTGCCCACGACACCGCCAGCAGCCGAGGCCGACGCCGACCCTGATGCCGAAGCTGATGGGGCCGGTGAGCTGGCGGGCGAGGGGAAGCGAGAGGGGGAGGGGGAGGGCGCCGATGAAGGAGGACCCGAGGCGCCGCCCGAGAAGAACAAAGGAAGAGACTCTCTATAGCCGGCGAGGCGGTTGGCGTCCGACACACTCGTGGCGAGGAATGGGACAGCCATGGCAGAACCTGAAGGAATGGATAGTCACACACAAGACCCGCAGAATTATTGGAGGTCAGAATCTGGTACTCTTCTTCCTTTGTGTACCTGGGCCTCCCCCAGGCCTTCGTGACGCCTTGCCCGCTTTCTGCCGCCGGCTGCCGTGCCGAATGTGCCGGCCGCTGCACCGTTCGCGCAGCCGACTCCCTCCCCGGCCCTGCCTCCCAAGACTCAGAGGGGCATAGCCTCCGTCACTGGCTGAAGATGATAGCGATTACAGCGATGTCTTGCCGCCTCGGCCCTTCTCCCCTGCGCCCAGCTGGGCGGCACTTTCAGGCGATTGTCGGTCTACCAGGAGCGAAGAGGGGGATGACGATGCGACAGCCGAGTTGAGGGGAAAAGGGGGCAGGTTCTCGGGCGACAAAGTGCCGTGAGGACCACCCGCCCGCTGGTCCTCATTAGCCGACTCGCCCGCTCGATCCACTAGAGAATCGTCAGCACTTGCCGCACCTTGACTGACGTCACTGCCCACACCTTCTGCGTCAGCTGAGTCGCCGGCAACTGCGTTCGCTGGTGCATCCATTACCCACACACGGGCTTCTCGACCTCAGCGGTGAGAATTGTTGATGTCGGGAAGATTGCGCCGCTCTCTGGCCATACGAAAAGCACGACTCGACTGCAGAGCACAAATGTCAGAAAAGGAGGACAAAGGACGGAGCGAATGAGGCGTGTGGCTTCGCAAGAATGCAGCGGCCCTCACTGCCTAGCCTGCGTGCGAGGTGCATCTCATCTTGCCTTCCTGCTTCAGTGGCCCGCTCTACGCTCCGCGAAGAAAAAGACTCTCACTCACACCAGATGCCCTCAAAACCTCTTTTCTCTTCCTGCCGTCGTCTTCTGTCGACCCAAGAGGAAGAGCAGACGTCAACATGCGCGCACCACCTGCGAGCCGGAGCTGGAAGCTCGCAGGAAGGGGGCGGGGAAGGGTGAGAAAGATCTATAATAGCAGAATGCGGCGCATCCTTCTGTTTTGCATTGCCGTCTCAATAAATCTCGGCGGCGATGCTTATCGTCTGACAATGCCTCTCACACACACACGCCAACGCCAGTCCTTCAGATCTGGGCGGAGGCTCACACCAATCATGGTATAAACGTCAGCGCAGAAGATAGTGCCACAACACTGTGCACAAAAAGGGCTTTCCAATTGTCTGCCTCAGCTCACATCTGTGTCATGTAATCTTCACGTAGATGCCCTCGCTAATCGTCACAAGCACTGCAGATCTTGACAAGGCCGCCGAGGACGCCTTTCTCACCGAGGCCAGCAGTGCAGTCGCCTCTGGCCTGGGCAAGCCTGAGTCCTACATGCTCGTCAGCTATACCAGGAGTAACATGCGGTTCGGTGGGTCAGAGGGGCCCGTGGCGTTTGTCTACCTTGCCTCCATCGGCAAGATAGGCCCTGACACGAACCCAAAGGTTAGATGGGATGGGCACAACAGTGAATGAATGATTGAGGCCCAGAGGAGGGGCACGGCCCATTCCCTGGCTGTGTGTGTGTGTTTGTCTGGAGCTGCAGGTGTCGGCGACCATCAGGTAGAGATTATCACGTCGTGTGGTACTGAACAGAGGAGAGCCTGCGTGATTGCTGTCGTTGTGACATGCCTACCTGTCGCTGCTGCAGCGGCCTCGTGGAGAAACACTTGGGTGTACCCTCCGACAGATGGTCAGTCAGTCGTAGCACAGCAGCTACGAACCGTTTGGCTCACGTATATGTGTGGTGCCTGTGCTGTGCAGCTACATCCAATTCGTGGACTCGCCCGGTTCAAATTTCGGCTACCGGGGCGGCACTTTCTGAAGGCCGCGCGTGCGCGAGGTACTGTTGCTCGTCTGATTGGCAAAAGTAGACATACGGATAGAGTCTTTGGGGTCGGGTGCTGCTTTTGGTTTTATCGGCATACGCTATCAGCCGACTGCCGACAGACACACCTACACCCCTCCTTCCTGGCCCTTCCCAGGCGACAAGTACGAGGCGACATCTGGAGGAAAGGCACACGTGGGAGAGCAGCTTCGTGAGTCTTTGCGCAGGAGTGTGGGCACACGGATGCGATCCATGAATCAACGGTGGATGGGATGTGCAATGGTATGGTGCCGACTTACTTGGTCGTTGCGTGTTGGTCGCAAAGTAATGAACGCTTACGTGTGCAGTGCATGCCGTGGTTGATTCCATATAACATATTATCTGGTGATGATGAGATTGGATTAAGAATGTGGATCTGTCTGTCCATCGATATGATATCGATTCGGCCCCCTGTGTTGTGTTTATATCCCAAAAGCAAAGCAACTGCCCCCAACTCAATTGACACTTCTTGTCTGTCTGTCTGTTCACTCAAGTGGTCCCGTCCCGTCGTCGGTGTTGTGCCTTGGCTCACCAGCCCCCGCACTTGGAGCTGCGGCAGCGCTGGCACGGGGCGCCCTTGGGCAGACACCAGCAACCGGCACCCTGCATACGTGCATCAGAGAGATGACCAACCAC